GCCGGATGATACGCCATCGTCTGGACGGGGCGGCAACCTAAGTCCTTAAGCAAAGAAGCAAACGTGAAGGAAAAGTGGAACCCACTATCAGTGTTCACTATGGTAGGGCAGCCGTACTGTGCAACTCAGCGTACTAAAAAAGCTTTCGTGACTGTTACTGAAGAGCAATTTGGAATAGAAACGGTCTCAGGCCATCTAGTGAATCGATCGATACAGGTTAGTAGATGCACAAAGCCTTTCGAAGGTGGCAGAGGACCTACGAGGTCGACGTGCACGTAATGAAAACGTGCGTCTGGCGTCGGAAACGTGCCTAATGGGCTTTTCGTGTGCTTTTGCAGCTTCGCACGTTGACACGGAAGGCAAGCAGCTGCCAAAGTACAAACGTCCCGATTGACATTGCGCCAAAAGAATCGTGCGGTTACGAGTTTAACTGATGCACGACCGCTTGTGTGAGACAAGCTGTGCAACGTGTCAAACACGATCTGTCGAAACTCGCGTGTGACGACTGGGCGCGGCGTGCCCAGGTAAATCGCAAAGTATAGTTCCCTTCTGGTGATGTCAGCGGAAGGGGTCGTAGGTCCAGTGAAGGGGATCTGCTTAGTAGATCAACCTAAGGATCGTTGAGTTGCGCTGTGGCCATGGCTGCCAAGTCGATAGCAGTGCCGGCGTCACCGGAGATAGATTGGGTTCGTGAAAGTGCATCGGCGACGGCGTTGTGTTCACCTGATGCATATCTCATATCGGTCATAAACAGCGAAATAGTCATGGTGGCGCGACTCTCTAGGAAAGTTTCGGTCGGTAGTCGAGCCAAGCACGTAAGTCAGGGCTTTGTGGTCGATGAAGACGGCAAACGAGCGACCATCTAAGACGTGTGGAAAATGACATATGGTAGGTGTATGGCCAATAGCTCTCTACCGAACGTGCTGTAGCGAGATTCGGTAGATTGCAGGTGTTTGGAGAAAAACGCTAAGGGCTGCCACATGTCAGCTACTCCTTGCTGCAAAACAGCGCCGACTGCCACTTTCGGAGCGTCAGTACTGAGTGACAGCGGGACTGTCGGATCGTGATGTGCTATAGAAGCTATGTTGGCGATAGCCACTTTCGGCGACTTAAAAGTAGCGCGTGCTACGGCAGGAAATTTAAATTTCTTGTGTTTCCTTCGGAGTAGGGGAGTAGGGTTGCATCAGTGACGCGCAGTCTGGTATGAACCGTCGGTAGAAGTTGACAGGCCCATCAAAACGCCTAAGCTGTTTGAAAGAATGAGGCTCTGGGTACTGGATGATGGTTTAAATTCTCTCCTGCAGTGACAAGACGCCAGCAGAGGAGATACGATGTTCGAGGAATTTTACTAAGTCGACACTAAACAAACACCTTACTGAGTTGCTCGTCACCCCGTGTTGAGATAAACGACTAAAAAGTGTTCATACGTGGCGAATGTGCTCTATACGTGAAGAGCTTGCAATTAAAATGTTGCCGAGATAAGCGTAAGCAAAGTCTAAGCCACGACGAACTTGGTCGGTAAAGCGCTGAAAAGTTTGCGCGGCCTTCTTTAGACCAAATGACCTGCGCAGGAATTCGAACAAACCAAATGTAGTTGTCACGGCAGTTTTAGCTATGTCCGCTTCGGCTACCGGAATTTGGTTGTATGCGCCTAACAAGTCGATTTTGTTGAAGATATCTTTACCCGCCAGACTGGCGGTGAGACCCACAATGTTCAGATCGGATAGTGATCAGACGTGGTAACCGTATTCAAGGTTCGCTAGTTGCCGCAAGCACGTCAGTCCCCCATGACCTCCTTCGGGACCATGTGGAGAGGCGACGCCCATGGGCTGTTGGACGGTCTGACGATACCGAGCTGAAGCATGTGGTCAAATTCAGCTCGTGCTGCACGTAGTTTGTTAGGAGCAAGCCGTCTTGGTCGTGTGCTAACTGTTTGCCTACGCGTGCCTATGTGTTGAGCGACTTCGGTCGTGACTGGCGGATGCTCTGCAGCTAATCGTACCAGTCGCGGGTATTTAGACAGTGGGTTCGCATAATCTGATGGTACATCGGCGATTCGAATAACGGGACTGATTATCGGGACGTCCGTAAGAACGCCTTGGTCCCCTAGTTTAGTACGGTCGTCTAAACGTCTATGGTGACCAGCATCAACAAGCAACCCAAAATGTCGGAGGAAGTTGTTACCGATAACTGCGAAGGGTACAGACGCAACCATGAACACCCACTGAAAATCTCGGCGAAGATTGCGGTGCAGGTTCATCATGCGCTGACAGAATGAAGTTATCGGAGAACCGTTTGCCGCACCTAGGTTGTACCTAGGCTTTGAGTGCCTGCCGTTTGAATTCGCAAGGATGATGCTGGCTTCCGCTCTTGTGTCGATGAGGAACGTGATGGAAGAACGTCGAAAACACAAAACAAGCGAGTTACTTGGTTATTGACCTATAAGTTGGTCGTGCTAGTATGCGGGTTATTCGCTTTTCCTGAAGCGCCTGAGTAGTGCCTTATGCAGGGAGTCCGAAAACGTCTAGCTCTACCATCATATTGGTGGTCATGCCAACATACTTGTTCTACGGGTTTGGTATGATCTGACTGAGAACGTGCAGGGAAAATGTTGCACTTACGTGTCGGACGACACCTACTCGGTGCAGACACAGACGAGCCGCAATGAACGGTAGCCAAAACGTGGTCAGCATCTGACCTTGGCACACGCTGCTTCGAAGCGTTCATTGTTACTATCATGCTGCGAAGTAGCGCAAGTTCCTCCTCTTTAGGGTCAGCTCGGCTTGACGACTTGGAGCGAAGATGAAACTTGGTTTTCATCGGTGAGAACACGTTACCGGAGTTACTGGTCGTCTGCTGCGGAAGAGGTTCGAACGCAGCGTCTGCCTTGGTAGCCAGTTCTTTCAAGGGCGTATCCAGAAACATGGACAGCATTAACAACAATGGCTCTGGGAGACGTGCAAACTACAGCTCCTTTATCCCTTCTTCGCTCAAGACTAAGGGACCAGCGATGCGCTGAATTTCGCCGAGCAACCTCGACGGCTTGCAATCTGCCAGCTTGAGTCCATTGAGCTGTTCAAATCGAGCTCGTGCGCTGGGCTGTACCTCTTTTAGAATCGCTTGCTTCATTGTTTCATACTTTACCTCATTCAATGGATGGAGTAGAATATCCTCAATTAGCGTCACAACCGACGGAGGAAAACGTGGGACGAGCTGATTGTACCTCGGACGGTCCATCGTAATTCCCTTCTTTTCTACTTTGATCTCGAATATCGTAACCAAACCTCCGGGCTGTGTTCCATGAAACTTGGAACAGCCGAAATAAGCATGTTTACGCTGCGAAATACCACTTTCGAAATGTGAATCGAAAAGATGAAGGATGAACAAAAGCACGAGGAACGTACTAAACTTACGTAAGAGACTAATGAATACAAGTATATAATCGAGATAAACGAACGAACTCAAAAAATACAAACAAAGAAAAAAGTTTAGATGCGCGCGTGCGAATCGGAGTCACCAATTTGTAGGACTAGTAAATACTAGTCTGAGGTGAGCGGAATTAAGTATGGATATCAGAAGGCATTTGAAGTCGGACACAGCGGACTGTATTCCATGAGCTACAAGAAGACGCGGACGGATGAAGCACGACAGGAAGTACACGTTAGCGCGGGAAGTTACAAGGCGGCCGAGTGTCGAGCCGGTTGTAAGGAAGATTCCAACAAGAAAGCATCATCTACAATTGGTCAACAATGGAATAGTACATAAAAGCTAGCAATTATCTTTTTGAGCGCTACAACATGAAAGTACATCAGTAAAACTCTATTGTTGGGTCACTTACCTAACTACGCCGTTAATGACAGACGTCAATTGCCTATAAAAAGCTGAAATATTGAAGTACAATTCGCTGGTTGTGCTAAACGCTCATAAAATTGAACATTCGGACAAATATCCATCCTATGCACACTCTTGTTAAACAAAGGCCATGTAGCAAGCAGCTTTTTCATGCAGTTATTCCAAACATCGCATGAATATTGAATATCACACTAACCATCTCAGATTGCTAATCAGAGGGCTGTGCTTTTGTACAAACTGTTAGACCAAATTTATGATATTGTAGTAGTACTAGTAATAGAAATAGCAGTAGTAATTCCAGCTGTATATGAATAGAAATAGAGCCAGCAAAGATTACTGAAAACACGGGGAGGTACAAGTGTCCCAAAAAGAAAGTCGAACTGCACACAGAGAAGTCCATGGTTTCTTCAGTTAGTAAGATACTGCTAGATATAGGGTGTTGGCTTAGGGACAGCACGCAGAGCCCTTGACTAAATGGCCTATTCGCAAGGTAGTTGGGCGAATTCAGACACGCGCTCAGTAAGAAGCGGCGGTTGGTTATTCAGTGTACACGCATCTGTTAGACGAACTGTTCACTGCGCTTAGCAGTTTTGTTGCAAACGTTTTGTCACCAGTCGATAAATGGTGTCAAGCGGCTATCGTCATGATCACTAGGCCACTGAGCTTCGCGAGCAGCGCTTGACACAGCGGTTAGAAGTTGATTGTTGAGTTTTGGAGCACACACTATGTCTTGGATTTAGACACGCAATCTCAATTGTAGCTTCGGTTGACTTTGAAGTCGGCTTCTGCCATTCCGATCAATTAGACCGGGTCAGAAGTGAAGAGTTTTGAGGTTCCTCTCTCCCCTCACTCAAAGGTTGACAATCGCAAACCAGGAAAACCTTTTATCGTAATGCTTGTAAATGCGTGACATGACGAGGGACCAGTCCAAGAATGCACCCGTCAATGTAAACTGACTTATGCTTGATCATTTCAATGCTGCAGTGATGGTCAGCCGGTCCCAAAGCAGGGTTCCGCTACAATTAACGTTGAAAGCTTAAAGAGTGACAAATGATCCGCATAATACAAACTTGCATTGAGCATTCATTATTGCTAAGTCAAGGATATTCATCAGTAGGACTTCAACCCTGATATTCTCTTGTTTTCAGGCCGACTTGTATGCCGGAGGTGTCTTCATTGATCAGGCCATCCAGATTAACCTGTATCCGGCAATCATTGTCCTACTGCTGATCTCTGGACTTTTTACCATTCTTGGTGAGTAATACTGTCATGCACACAGCTATACACATTCAGGTTACAAAATTCACCTTGATTCGTTTCACACTTAAGCCGAGTGTCTTCTTGTGCGAGTAGCGTAGTACAGCAACACACATACTTGGCCGTTGAGATGCATGAACACAGTGTAACACCGATGAAGTCGCAAGCATATTCGACCGAAAATACTTTTCCTGTGACCTCTCGTAACATGTGAATATCAACAGTACAATAAATGAAAACGCTGTGGTATGACAAAGCAGTTTGTTGAAAAAGTGCAAGTAACAAAGCCGTTCGAGTCAGCATTATTATATTTGCATTCTTGTTGTTGTCGTCCACTGTTGCGAACGTTTTTGGAGCGGATGATTGGTGAAACATTTCGTCATTGACTCTACAGGTCATAATTATCCTGGGTGGTTCGATTTGAATTCAAATAGTGCTGCTGGAGATACAATTTTATGTGCTAACTATCTAGTATACGCACAAAACCAGAAATACTTTATTAATTTGTTTTTATGCAGGGGGTCTGACCGCTGTCATTTGGACGGATTTCATTCAGACAATTTTGATGGTGGTCGGCGCATTCTATCTCATGATTGCTGGTAAGCAGCTTGTCGATTTTTAGAAGCTGTTTGAGTCTACGTGTGGCAATTGATCCTCCTATTTAACTGTGATAGGTAGTTTTAATATACCAGCTCTTGGAGCTTACTCATATTAAACTTATTTTAAGCTGCAGATGTTTGTAACGAAAAGATAAACTCGAGCAAATTATACTTTTTATACGGCTAACTAAAGCTTTATATCTCAGCTCATGGCTGCAGTTACCTTGAGCACCCCCTTAATATCAGTGATGCTGAGTAGATGCTGTACATTGAAAGTCACTGATCCCAAGTGTCTTAGCTGATTTACCAGCGACCATCAAAATGAAGTTTCAGAACTTTAATATTTCTTGGAGAGAGTATTCCACCGCAGTGCTGTTTACAAGTTTGGTGGACCTAATTTGTTCACCATGTGGTCTGTATTAGCTGGAAAAGATGAATTACGCTGTTTTTGGCTTAGGAGAGCTTACGTGAATGACTAGGTGCTGCTCAGCCTATGCTGGTGCCACAGTGAGCAGATACTGCGGTATCGTTGGGTTTGGTGGGTGGCATCTTGGTGATTCTATTTTTATATAGTAGAATAATAAAGAAAAGCAGTGCAGACGGACGAAAATTGCATTCTTTGACTTCAGATAAATAGTCACGTTTGTTGTCCTGAGTTGATAAGTTTAGATCAAACTCAGAAATGAGGGGGACGAAATGATTGCATTCACGAAGTTTTACTGTGCCCTGATTGGTGTGCAACAATGTTCGTGGGATCTCTGCGTACACACATTGTGCGGACGCTATGCTCAGCCGGCGATTACGATGCTTCCGGCATATCCTGTGGCAGTTTAACCGCTTACTTTGAATGTCTGTTGTAATTGATGTTAATAACAAACTCCAGTGTACTAATGTTTAGATACTACCTGTATGACTAGCAAGTAGCCATCTTTCTGTTGCAACCTAAGAACATTCACCATTATGTAGACGACGAACTTTCCCACCTCTCTGTGTGCCTCATAAATATGAGTATTACTACCGAACCATGCCACAGGATTTATGGAAGAGCAATTTGGTGACTGCGTATGCATGACTTATGAGGTTAGGCAATAAAAATCGGCATGTTACGGACCATTAGTTGGGGTTGACTGCACCTTTTGCTCGCAGTCTGTTGATCTACGGAACGTATGCACTTATACCTGCCTGGTTGAGTAAGCCATGCATAATACCTTACCCATGTGTTTTTACATGAAAACAACTGGTTAAACACCAAGTATGTACCAATCGGTAGCTGATCGTGCTGTCTACCATTCTATACATTAAAATGAATGGTTTCTTCAAAAGGCATTTCTTCACTAGCAGTTTTAAATTCCCTCTGCCTACCGAATTGCCTGCCACACCCAAAATACAAATGTGAGCACTCGTGTGATGCACTATATTGTGTAGACGTGCAACTGACGTGTTGCGGAACGAATAGCAACGAACTTTTCTTAGTACGCTACTGTTTGTGTGTGACGAATAAGGATTCCGCACTCTCTAACGCATCTTACCCCAGTGTTTATTGGCTCCATTCTACCTACTTCCCAGGGATTCTGCATCTTACAGTGACAAACTCTTTTGTCCACATCTTTTACTCACCATCACTGTTGCCGACGCTGTCATAGCAATGTGAGTCAACACAGCGGAGTCTATCTCACGTTGACACACAAATCTTAGTTGTCTGACTGAAGTGAAGATGGCGCTCTCGGTGGCTAATACACCTATCTTCTGCTACTTGCCTTTGTTCGTCGAAACGCTAGGAATCGCTTTTTATGATTACTGGATGCTCTACGTTCTCAGATCCCATCAAATTTCACGAACAAACACAATTGGACACTAGAGTGCGCAGACTGGAAGCAAAGGATAATAATCCCAAGCGTCTGTGCTGAATTGTGAAAACTGAAATAAGGTCTTAAATACAGAATGACTTTTCCTTCTTGCTACTAAATCCAGCCGGCTTGTCTAGTGGTCGTCCCTTCGTAGTGTGGCCATTTCGCCAGTCTTTAGCTGGTTAGAAATTAACATGCGACTTAAGGTCTAATCTAGCGCTTCGCATAACTCTCAGTTGGGATAAAAGTCGCAGGCGAAATGTAATCTTGAGTGGCCGTTTAGTTCACTACGGCATGAGTGTTGGCGCGCATTTAGGTACACTGTGTCTAGGTATACCTTTTTTAACAGTCCGGATATTCAATGCATGATTACGGATGGTCTATTCTCTCTACCTATTATCCATATTGTTTATTACGTATTGGACACCACAAAAACCGCTAACCTGATTATCCCAGGATGCGCATTCTAGTGCTACTTTCCAAATATTACTGGTTTACAGCACCTTTTAACGCACCTAAAATCGGTTATCGCACCGGTAGTTTGCTCTGTTCCAGGGATCATCAAACATTTTCACGGTGAGCCTGATGACTAAAACAAATGAGTGGCGCGGGCCGGACAAGCGGCAAAATGAGCAACGGAAAAATGATAAGCATAGGTCGCATAATTGTTATGCATAATCCTATCAAGTCAGAACAAAATTTCTGAGAAAAGAGAAGAAAAATTGCCGCTAGTTGTCTGCTTTTCTTTAGTAAGTTGTGGAGGCTGAAATAAAGGGGAAATGAGCAACAGCGTTCTTTGGATTGCTCGTTGCTCCTTGATCGCAGTGTCATAGTGATCAGGACTTCAGCCGTGAACCACTGGGCTCTTGGCTCCACTCCAGCTCAGGCTATCTCCACATGATGAGTTCAAACCGGGACGAAACCGCGGTCGTGGTGTGTCTGCGGTGGGAGAAATAACACCGAAATACTTCCATAATAAAACCCTCTTGAAATATCAGAAAAATGAGGACCACATGTCATTTGTGCAATTACAAGTCATTAGGGGTACGCATAAATTTTGTTGGTACCTTCGGTAATAAAATAAATATATCAAAAGAATGTTTTCAATATATATATATATATATATAAGCGCTTGGAAAGCTTAAGCAAAGCGTTTTCGTCAAACGCAAATCAACGACCATTGCCGTAACTGGATCCCGGTACTACTTACCAGCAGTTAGCAGTCCCAAAATGCACGAGGCTCAACAGGTTGCACTTCCAGCAAAATTCCGTACTATCACTTTAATTTTATTCAAGTAGGTATTAAATATGACTAAAAAATGACACATACAAAAAGTATTGGCCTCTTGATACGCGTTGATTCATATGGCATACGGCTCAAAGGACGGCACCAACTGGAAATTGTGGCACAAAGGTGTGAAGTAAACTGAAGTACAGTAGGGTCCATGGATGAATGAATTTCATGCTTGATCACCCATCTCAGTGTTCCTACGATGTGAGGTCACAAATAGTACGGCAGTACGTTATCACAAGTAGCAAACATGAGATGGCTCACGCCAGTGTTCAAACAAAATAATGTCACGGACAATATGACATGCAGTGTCAAATGTTACTTGTAGCCCAACGTCTCGTGTCCCATCCGTTTTGCCAAGCAGCTTCAGGTACATTCGGCGGGCCACATCAACTGACCTCATGGGCCGGATCCGGTTCGCTGGCTTTACTTTGATGACCCCTACTCTCTGCGAACAGTTCCACGTAGGTTGCAACTTAAGAGTATCTGTTGCTTATTTGAGTATAATACCTGCCAAAACTGTGATTTAACTGTCGACAAAAATGCGCACAAGAATCGTCCATTTCCTGTGAGGCTCTCATGTTAAAAGTCTATGCGAATGCTTAAACGGTGAACTCATGTTATCCGACATTCACTTTTCGCGGATTTGTGACTGTTAAAGTTCAGGTGTAAATAGCATGCGAAACCAACACGCGTTACCATATCAGCCGCCACTTACTAGTTGCTATAGCTTATGCTACGAAATGACCACTACCGCACCCATGCACTGCTACCTTGGTTCCGTAGCGCATAATGATTTGATGCCTGAATCTTCACACGCATTAGAAGAACTTGCAGTATGCCTAGTGCATTAATGGTTTACTCTAATCGAGTTTTGACGCTACCTGTCCATCCCCTTCGAAGTTGCTAATAAAGATTACTGCGGGTGTTCGCAACTCCAGTGATTTAACCGTTAACCACTTTCGCTCGGCCATCTTGTAACTTATACTAACAGCGTCTCCGATTCATGAATTACCTACCATTCGTACCCATCTCTTATTTGTATATCTGTTTCAACCAGTTTCATTAAAATCTCTGTTATCTTTTATGCACTGCTAGACATGATACTTGACTACTTAATGGGTCATGTGTATGAATCTTTTGCCCATTTGTCATGTCATGCCTACAGCATTCGTGAAGGTTGGCGGATTTGATGCCATGGTTGAAGGCTATTTTAACGCGGTTCCCAACACCACCTTAGCATACCGTGACAATGCGTTCAACTATACTTCCACGAATAGTGCAGTGTCTCACTTCCCCAAAGGAACCGATTCAAAATACTCCGAGTGTGGTATACCACCGGCGGATGCAATGCATATGTTCCGGAACGTTGAGGACCCTGAGTATCCTTGGACTGGAGTCATATTCGGCCTAACGATTAGCAATATATGGTACTGGTGCACTGATCAAGTGAGTGTTCAATTCAAGCGTAGTCCGATTCGAAGAATACGCAAAAAGTGTGGCTTTTTGTGCCCATGTCTAACCGCTACATGCCCGACCCACAGCGCCACCGCATTATGCTACTCATCATTTGGTACTTTACAATGTCGGCGCCCCTTCCATTTTAGTTTAGCGGTATAGAAATCGCGAACCTTTAACAGACTGAGTTTAGAGTATCTGCCGGACAATCTTTCGGAATGGTCTACTTATTGGATCAGCAGTGCGTCGGTACGCAATACCGACGCTTCGCAATCGCACAACCACCAACACTTGCGCTTGGGCCATGAATACTGTGAGAGCCACCCGGTACCCATAAGTAGGTTCCAACTCATGCCCACGGATTACAAGGCAGGCTTGTGATACGTTAGGTTACGGGCTGACAATGGTCTTCTCAGGGCATTCTGCATTAGGCTTATGCGGCAAAAGGATTACACGTGCACCATCACATGATTCGGTGGAAGAGAGCTAGCCAGACCGACTACTGATCGTCTGTTGCTCAAGTCTACCAGCCTCCACGTGCATATTTCAAGCGTGTGCCAATAGCACGTGTTGGTGCACTTTCGGATTAGGCAGGCACGCCTTATTTACATTTTTAAACTGCCTCAGTAGCTGATCTTCTGGAGCTTACACGTCGAATTTAGCGTGTGATATGCCACACCACGAGCGCAAAACAATAGACTGGTTACGCAATAACTGCTTTTGGGGTGCATGCTTTCGAATTTCCTGTACGATTCAATTAGGGTGTGTCATTCACAAGTAGACTAATGCGATTGACCGGTTAAGACGGTGGCATGATGATGAAATACCTTAGCAGCTAACGCTTAAATCAATCGCGCATCGAAGCTTTTTACCTTTAGCGACAAACTGGGGGCTCAACGGAAATAAGTCAGCAGAGAATCTGTAACAGCTACACTTGTTAAAGCGCAAGTTTCGACATTTATGTTCGCACACACACACAGCTACTATTCAAAAACAGAAGTACACCAGCCATTTGAACTGAGGTGTCTGTCATGCAACCAAAACGACCTACGGAACGAAGAATAATAAGAGGAAGAGAAGGAGGACTTACCGGAAAACCTTACTGTCATAAGCAAATATTCAGGGTCATTACACCTACAGCTTGTCAACAACATACCGTCGCAAAAGCTGGCTGTCGTGGAAAGATGAGGCGGCAACGGCGAGACAGCTTCCTTGCAGCTTTCACTGCCCCGCGTCATAATCAGCCAATACTCCGTAGATAACTCAACACCAAACACCCGTTAAACAGGCAGTTCGACTATGAGACGGCAGCAGGCGAGCCACTGGTGTCGGTAGCGAGCCATGTCCTGTAAAGTCTCGAGCCAAGTACAAGGCGGGTCACGTGGAAGGCGAGTCGGACCAATATGAGCATTTGGGGTCCATCGCTGGCCAGCTACAGGAGGACGCCAAGTGGCACATCGGCGCCCACTGTGTCTAAAACCAGTGCTACTACGAAACAACTGGTGTTCTGCACACGGCTGCCACAAGCGCTCGCTGTTGTCAGTCCATTCGGGTTTTAACCCATAACCACTACCTATCTGAGCTTCTGAAAACTTGGACACCCTACTTGGGCATACATATCCTCTGCAGGTACTGTGCTATCTGAACTGGTAGCACTGCGTAGTGGTGTGTTCAGTACGTAGTAGAAGGCGTCCTTGACAGTATTATAACTACAGTCGGTGAGGGCATAAGCGGAAACTACGAACAAACAGCGTCTAATGCTATTTCGTGAAGTAACCCCATTTGATGTCATCAAACGGTCTGCAAACAAACGGCTGTTCACCAGAATCCAATCAACCAGCAATGACTTAGCCTTGGAGCTGAGAACCATAGCTACCCGTGGGTGCTGCATCAGCGTCTCCGGATGCGTGCAATAAACAGCGAGAGGACAAACCGAGCGCAGTTAATTCAACCACCCCATTTGGGTCATTGATCCCAGTTTCGGACACACAACACACTTCACTATCCAGCATGCCCAACGTCCATGCGACGGCAGCCTGTTGACCTAGTTGTCTAAAGGTGCGCACGTTGAACGCCGCCAGGGAAACGAGACAGCGTAGCTTTATAAGTGACTGTTATCGAGAGGATATGGCTGAAGATGGTTCAACTCCAGTGGCACCGCGGCTGTTGCCAATTAAGCTGCAAATTATAGGAAGGTTAGTAATAGGATTTGGGATGGGAGTAAGAGAAACAGGTGGAAAAGAAAGTAGAGAGGCGTCATCCACAGCATGTTTTCGCTTTTCCGCCCTGCCGTATGCAGCAAATAAGACGACCCTTAGTAAGCTGCGCGAGGGCCAATGCAAGAGATGGTTGAAGTTTGTAGAAATAACCATGGTTGTACGTGAGTTAAGATACTGCCATGGCGCCCAGACCCAGAAAAGTGGTCGATTAGGTTCATCAACCAAAGCCTTTGGCTCAAAAGCCTGTTCTGAGGCGACGGGATGATGGCAATGATCAAGTTTTACAGAAATGGATGCTATCCCATTTCAAAACCCTAACGGGCAGGACCAGGAGACTGAGTTTGTCTGACCTCTATCCATTGCCGAACCTGGTAGGAGTAGCTCTCAAGGGGCCCGGGGACACCACACAGTATAGCTCCATGGGTCGAAGAGGTGTGCAGACCGCCGCACCACGTTAAGTTCCGGGCTCGTTACGACAGAAGATATATCATCAACTGTACGTTATGACGGCGCTTCACTGCCGCGCAATCACCATCACTCACACGTGGGCTGAGTATACCACGAGGAGGCCTGCCCCTTCACGGATTCAAACCGGTGAAGTTATGGTTGCAAGCCAGGTGTGCAGACCACTTGGCCACCGGCGGGCGCAGATACTGTTATTGAGCGATAAGTTACAAGCATTTTGACACCCGGCATAGGGAAAGATGTCGTATTAATTATAAGCTAAACGCTGGTTGCTCCTTGAGACCTTAGAGACACTTACAACTATGTCCTCTTTCCTGATAACTTTGAAGCTCACAGCTGTTCAAGTTTGAGTTAGTAGAAGCAATGTTGACATGTTGGTGCTTTCTGCAGCTCTGGGTATGTGATTCTCCCGTACAAAGGTGTGCTCCTACTTACAATGGCATACGATTCAACATATTGTGAATGTATTTTTCTTTCAGCTGAGCCTGTGATAGAACAGCACTGCCAGAAAGCTTTTTCCAGCCATTACTTTAGATATATACATCCCAGTGTAAACTCGTCACATACAACGGTAACCTCTGGTTAGGTTCCATTGTCATTAACAGCGGTTGTATTAAGAGATTGCGGTGGAAAAACCTTACTTGATGCTATGCTTCTTCATTAATCTTTCGCTTGTGAGCAGATCTTCCTTTTATATAATCACATGGTATCCAACCGCTCTTATTCCATGAAAAAGAAAACCGTAATAAACGATGAACTGTGACTCATAGCTGACAAATTTCACTACTTGATAATTCCTGCAAGATAGTCAGGGTTGACAGGCAAACCCGAAAATTTAGATTACAGGATTTTATGCGCCTACCGATGAAACGATGAATCGGCCAGAAAGCGAGTACATTTAATGTACCGACGCATGAAGATGGTCGGAAACTAACAACTGAATTTTAGCTTACGAAACAACAGGATCGATGTAGTGAACAAAATCGAAATCATTCGTCCATTGTACAATTTCAGTGCAGTTGTGTGATACATAAATTTAGCAGAGGTGATTCACACCGGGAGATAATCGGAATACCAAAGCTTAAGCAACAGAGGATACGAACAAGCTCATTTATCCTTGGATGATATTCTAAGTAAGAGCAAAAGCAATTATATCTAGGATTGGAAAATTTGTAAGAATAATAATAAATGTGGTAATCTAGACAGCGCGTTTGCTCGTTTAATTCCAATTTACTACCTCCGAGACAGTTTAAATGAATTGGCTTTACAATTTACTAGCATATATAACTTGAATCACTTAATAGTTTGTAGGCCAATATGAGATAAGTGCTTGGCCGTCTAAAGCGACCATTGAAAAGTTCTAGAGCTTGCAGAATTTGTTGGTAAGAGGGACCGCGCCGACCTTTGAATTTCTCTGTGGCCAGGCGTCATGGACCCTCCATAAACGCGAAATCACTATTCACCCAAGGATGCTGTTTTGATACCAACTTCATTGTGAGGACTTGCTTAAGAGATGTCCATCATGTGGAAGATATATAGGTCTAAACCACAGAATACGTTCCGCAACATACAGATTTATTGGCTACACCTTTTTAAGCTACCTTTAGACTGTCTTGAACGGTTAAGATAATTCTGTATAATTTCGCTGTGCTCGCGTTCCCGAAGGCTGGTCTGCAAGTTGTTCTCTAAGCCTTAAAAAAAGCAGCTATGCAGATGGTGTGTATAAATAACCATGTTTACATACGTCCAATGGTAGGCCATTGTGGACCGACCAATTCGAAGTCACTTCGAAGTCGTGTTAAAGAACTATACGTTTGCCCACCATAGCTCGGTTGCATCCGCGAAAGCGTAGGAAGTCCCATTAGATGCACTCATCAAGTACTCGCTACTACTTAATCCGTTTGTGCCAAGATTTATTTGCGAACACACTTAACAATACTTGTCATCTAGGGATGCACCTCAACGGCTTGATTGGAACTGGTTTCTTCCAGTGCAGCTGGAGGAAGTCCATGGTTGGTTTAGGAATTCACTGTTATCGCTGTTATCGTTTTTGACCACAGCAAGGACATTAGCTGTCCAAATATTGCAACGATGCGTGATATATCTTGTTCAACTTCGCGAGAAAAGTAGATGGAGCATACTTAAACAAGCAGTTCTTGCTACGGTGTGTTTCATGTGCCTGATTTACGGCGGCACCTAATATTGAGCACTCAAGTATGAGTTGCCTGAACCAACACGACTCTGATAGAGTCCTCTCCCTGACGTAATATAAGATCTGATTAGTTCTCACATGTACATAGACTGATC